CGCCACCTCCACCAGCATGTTGCCCCGGGTGATTTGATCTGGAAGGAAGAACAGGTGGTTTGCCACTGTCTCTAGGTGTTTGGGACTCTGCTGTCAGTGTCCCTGGGCCCTGTGGGACCCTTTCTGTGCATATTTGCACAGATTTTGGGCGTGTAAGTGCAGGGTCAGGGTGCTGCCGTCCTGGAGGGCACAGACACTGAAGTTCTGAAGTGTTCACTTTTATTTCTGCATAAAACTTCACTTTTACCAAACAGAAGTGATGGGTTTTCTGAGAGAGGAGATGCAGATAAAGGAGGTCTGAGTTCCTTCTCCCGGGCTGCGCCGACACAGCTTGGGCGGAACCTTGCTTCAGCTCTCCCAGAGTGTGGGTGTCTGAGAGAGGAGGAGTCTGATTCGAAAGGAACTTTTTAACTGCGGTTTTGTTCTTAACGTTTTCTGTGCTTGAACACTGTGGTGTCCTTAGGAAGAATTGTTAGGGGTGCTGTAGTCCTAAACTGTTCGGGTTCTTGGAACAATAGAAAATCCTCCAGCCCATTCAGACAGGTGGGACTAGCACGTAGACTAATGTGTGTGGTTACATTTTCACTTGTTTCTGTACTTTGAAAATTTGGAAGTAACTCATTTGGGGAAATGGTTCTCCAGCTTTTCCACTTAGTTTCTGTAGCTAATGTGCGTGTTACCTATAGATAGCCCAGTTCCTCAGGTATGCTGGTAGACTCCTCACACAATCTGCATTTGAAAACTTAATCCAGAGGTGAAATTACCCACGCAGGTGAACTCTGCAGTGACAGTGTGCTAGAACTTCAGATAGGTATCACCATCGGATTACCTGAAGTATTTCTCTTCTGTAATTCCATATCCATCAAGCAGCTTCCCTCAGCACGGCAGAACATCGTTAGGCTTTTTCATGGCAGGGTGGGTTTCTGAACCTGTGTGTGTTTCCGAGGAGGATGACGTCTGGACTGGGCGATAAGATAGGGGCAGACTGGCATTACATCTGTCACCCACTGATGGCCAAGGTTGTTTGGATGGTGATGTTTCCCACTCTGCTGTCTTCCTGCCTCAGAAGAGTGACAGTGAGACAGCGGGCCCTGCCGCCGCCTCTTAAACACAGGCCAGATTCTCTGATTTCTCTGGCAGTGCACTGGACGGACACCAGGGTCTGTTTCTCTGTCCCTGCCGGCTTCTGACCCCAAGATTGTCGGGGTGAGAGCTGGTGACACGGAGGGCGTTGACTTCATGGCCACCGTCGCCAGCATGTCCCAGGCTGCCGTCAGCTGCCAGTGCATCCCGCGGCCCTGGTGTCCTCCCCTGGCAAGTTGGAAGTTCTTGTTTTCTGGATGTTGCTGGACTCGATGTCCTGCTCAAATAAAAGCCAACAGTTTGTCCAGGATTGTAAAACCAATTTAGACTCACATACGATTTTCATGGTGATTTCATGTGGTCCTCTTCCAGCTGGCCCACAGTTAGGCGTGTTCGATTGTACCATGAAGGGAGCACTCAATTCTGAGTTTTATTTTTAAAATACATATTTGATGTGTTTTTGCATATTGTTTTGGTAGCCACCAAGTTGGTTTATAGTTTCTTACATTTTTTTCTTGCTGGTGATGACCATGCCCTTCTGCACATGAGGAATTTTTTTTAAGTATATGATGTAAAGCTCCATAAAAATATTGACAAAGCAATGAATGGCGCGCGCGTGTGTGTGTATTTGTCTGTTCCTAGTCAGTTTTTATCTTGGCAGAATTTGTAAATTAACTTGGTTCTAACTAAAGTGGTCTCAGCAGGAAACTTTCATTAATCCAGTTACTACCCAGAGTGAATCTGTCACGTTCATCAACCAAATGTGAAAAATTAGATAATCTCAAGAAGCTGTGCGTGTCCTGAAGTTCTGTGCTGTAAATTTGCTGTGTGTGTGTGGTTGGTGAAATCGAGCAGACAGAATGCTCAGTGTGTTTAATTAAGATCAGGATTGGGACTCCCGGGGGGGCCTCTCGTAGTGGTGATGAAGGCAGGCTGGTGAGTGGCAGCAGAGCGAGGAGGAGCCTGGAGCTGTCGCTCTCACTCTGCCCGTGGTTCAGTGTGGCGCTCCCAGTCTCACCGCAGTGTCGCCAATACTAATCCTTCCTGGCATCTTGTAGACGTAGTGTTGAGCACTAAAACCGCATTGTACTGTGCTGCCGTCGCTACCTTACCGCTCATTCTTTTTGCGTGTGTGATGCACCTCCGTTCAGCCTGTTTATTTTGAAGTATTATGTGCTCATCTGTTTTATGCAGCACCCACCATTTTTGTTGATTCCTCATTCATGTCCTTTCCAAACATTTAATAGGTTTTACTTTAATTGTTACTTGATTGCTTGAGCCCAGGCTCTGTATCATACAGTAAATTGGGGTGATGGATAATTTCTCAAATGCAGATTGTGCTGTAAAGATTGACTCTCTAAATTTGCTTTACTTGGATTGTCACCAAGTCAGAACAGTCATTCACTAAATATCTCAGATTGATGAATGATTGGTCCTAGCACCAAAAATTTCAAATCAGTTTAGAGTTGAATTTTAAGTCCTTAAGATTGTTTATGGATTTACATATATTGTATTGCTTATACAATATATCACAATTTTCTCTATATAATCTTATAAATAAATGGCTGGAAAGTTTTTGACCCTGACTGCATTTATGTTAAATGTTTGTCTAGAATATGGATTTGGTTTCATTTGTATTGTAACAAAATTAACTGAGTGATTAGCAAGAAAAAAATAACAGGAAAACAAATTAAAAATCAGTTCTGGGTAGTTGATGTTTTCATACATTTAAAGATCTGATTTAATATTAGAAATAAAATCTCTGAATTGCTGTCAAACATAAATTTTTCATTTTGAAAAATAAAGCTATTTCAGTTTAAATTGCTTTTTTAAGGCCTTTGTCACAATGTTTTGTTTGAAGTAAAAATTTTCATCTCAGACCCTGGAGTTACATTTGATTTCTCTGAGTAATAATAAAATTCAGATTCCTAAATTTAAGCTCCATGCATTTCTAGTGCTAACAAGTCATCGTGGAGCTGGCTCAAGCCTGTCGTTGTTAGTGATGATGGCCTGGGACGTGTGCGATGAGACCGAATGCTAATCAATGCTTTGCCTTGGCTTTCTGCTCTGTGTTGTCTTGGTGTTTGCGTCTTACCTCTGTGTCTGTGCTATTTGTCCCCTTCCCTGTTCTCTAATCCTGCCCTTCCCCACCTGCCCCCTGTTCCTTTCATTGTCCTCACTGACCCATCAATCAACCAACAACGCCCCCCCTTCGTCGTGGTGCTCTGCCCTGCTCTGATTGGTGGCTTCGTTGCTTGGGTGGCTGTGTGTTATGATGGACCAGTTCACCCAAGTATGGCCTTCTTGCTGACAGGTATCATTTCTGTGAGAAGTGTTTCACAGAGATCCAGGGCGAGAATGTGACCCTGGGTGACGACCCTTCACAACCCCAGACGTAAGTACCATCCTGTTGTTTTTCTTGGGGTGACCCTTAGTTGTTTGTGCCTCTCACCTGCAAGTGAAAAGGAAACACACTGCTGTTCTTGCCTGTGTGCAGCATTTTCACATTGAGTCTGAAGTGTGTGTATTGAAGCTAGGGATGTCTCTGTTCTTCCATTCAGGGCGGGAGTGCTGTGGCCTCCCACAGTCCAGTGGTCTCTCTTGGCCCTGGTCTGTCTCTTCTTGTCTAATCACCAGTTCTGTTTGGGGAGATTATACATTTTTGGTTGCACCTAAAAAACTAGGTAGCCCTAGTGTCTGTTCACAGAACTGAAAGCAAAAAATGAGTTTCACAAAGTGAGTGTCACAGACAAAGCCGGCCCACCGTCTTCAGTCTGTCTGTCTTCCACATAGATTTCCATTCATAAGGTTGCTGAGCTAAAGCAGTTTAATGAGATTCCAGTGTTCTCCAAATTCATTTTTTGTCTGAAGGACAAAAGGGTCTCCTTCCTTGGTGGTGTTTAGACTGATACAACTCCAAAGTGGACACCCCCTACCCCCCACCCCCACAGACTTGTCCCCACCAAGAGTTAACTGCGTGGAAGGATGGCCAGGGTGTGGCAAGGAAAAGCGAAGCGACACCTTGCATTGGATTGGTCACCTCATTTATACCCTTGGAATTCCTGAAATGCCTGTCACCATCCCTCCTGTCTGCTCTGACCTGCTGGTGTTTAGGGTCCCCTCTTTCTTCCATGACCCCACACTAGAAGTCACAGGCGGGGTAGCTCAGCCACAAGAGCAGCCTCTGGCTGGTAGGCGCCTACCCTCCGGCTCCGATTTCCATCATTCAGACGTGCCCAGAGCCTTGGTATTAAACCGAATGCCTGCAGTTCTGTTCTTTCCTTTTACTTTTATTTCCCTCATCTTCTCCTTGGTTTACTTTTTTCCCAAAAGTAAATCACTGGATTGTGTGATTCTTTGAATTAAAAGAAGTCTGCATAACACAGATCATAACAAAGGGAACCCAGCTGCCCAGCCCTGGCTCAGCAGGGAAAGCCTCTTGACACGCACGCCGCCGTGAGGCCTTGAGGAGAGTGAGCGCTGTCACTGCAGTTGCAAGCAGTGCTTACTCCAGTGTTGGTCACACGCCGCGGCTGCTCACCACACAGACCTAACCGAAACTTGGCGGGCTTTCACCTCAACACGGTGTTGCTGTCGTAGATTGACTAGTCTTGAATAACTCTTGTAGTGCAGCTGAGAGTAGCTGGGAAGAGAGAAGTGTTCTTAGAAAATAAGCAGTGGTGGGGCCTGCGTGAGTGTAGTGGGTGGTGCTGTCTGTGGTGGTCATCCGTCGCTGATGCTTCGGCTGACTTCCATTTATTCTTATTTGAAGACTTGGTCACAGAGTATTTCAGAGACCCTATTATATTTCATACTCAGCAGGTAAATTTTCATTAGCTAATTAATATCTTTTTTTTAAAGGACAATTTCAAAGGATCAGTTTGAAAAGAAGAAAAACGATACCTTAGACCCCGAACCGTGAGTATATGGTTCTTTATTGACATTGTGACTTTTTAAATTAGTTTTCAGATCTAGATATTACTCAGATTGGCTTGTAAGAGAAAACATGGTCAGATACAGATTCTTCCTTATGCCTCTATAAGACGTGCTCCTCCGATGACCAGGTTTCAGCAGTGACAGGATTAGTTGCATGTTTTGTTTCTAATAACTTTTTGGATAAAAGGGCAATTTCAGGAAGTAGCCATCTTAGAGACTGCATTCTGAAAATAAATAATGTGAAACTTAGTTTACTTGTGTTCTTGCCAGTGTCTTTGATATGGTATATTCCCAAAAGGCATTGTCAAATACCATGAGTCTTTGAAACGTTCACAGAAATGCATAATATGAAAGAACTATGCATGGATTGAGGAGTTTTTGCTTCAAAATAAACTTAATCTCTGATTTGTTAGGGAGTTACTTATTTGAAAGGCTTTAGTGACAAAAAGAGAGATCTTCCATCAGGATGCTGATTCACTCCCTAAATGGCCACAAAACCAGAGTTGGGCCAGGCCAGTGCCAGCACAAAAGAACTCTGTCTGCATCTCCCACGTGGGTGCAGGGGCTGAGCACTAGGGCCGTCTTCTACTGCCTTCCCAGGCACACTAGCAGGAAGCTGGATCAAAAGCAGAGCTGCATGGCCTGGGACAGCAGTGGAAGATGGTCCGAGTCCTTTGGCCCCTGCACCCGTGTGGGAGACCCAGAGGAGGCTCCTGGCTCCTGGCTTCAGATCGCGCAGGTCTGGCTGTTGTGGCCATCTGGGGAATGAACCAACAGATAGAAGACATCTCTCTTTATCTCTACCTCTTTCTGTAACTATGACTTTCAAATAAATAAAATAGATCTTTAAAAAAAAAAAAAAAGAAAGAAAGAAAGCAGAGCTGCTGTGTCTCGAATCGGTGCTCCAGCATAGGGTGCTGATGTTGGAGGTGGGAGCTTAACCAGCTGTGCCATAGCACCCAGCACCAGCTTTAACTTAATCTTTTAAATCATTGGCCCACACACTCTTAAAATGTATATATGATTTTGAAAGGCAGAGTGACAGAGAGATCTTTGATTGACTAGTTCACTCCTGAAATGGTGACAAAGCCAGGGCTGGGCCAGGCCAATGCCAGGAGCCAGGAATTTCATCCGGTCTCCTACGTGTATGCCAGGGCCCCTAGCACTTGGGCCGCCTTCTGCTACCTTCCCAGGCGCATTGACAGAGAGCGGGACGGAAGCCTCCCAGCCGGAACTCTCACTGGAGCTCTGACGTGGGTGTCTGTATCCCCCGCCTCACCACCATGCCAGCCCCTGAAATACTTTGAACTTGACTTTGCCGCAGAGATAGAGCGCATTGCTGTGTCTGCCTGGCAGTAGCTCCTGAAGAGACTTCACAGAGTGCCTAGGGTGCCCAGCCTCCTTCCAGGTCCCCGAGCAGAGTCCCGGGGGATGCCCATCCTGCGTGGCTTGCTGAGTGTGGCTTCCAGGAGCACCACCTGCTTGGGAAATGGGAACTGTGAAGCACCCAGAGTCGCCTTGGCCCTGAGCCTCCCAGCTGCAGGGAACCACACAGGCCACACTGGGAAGCTGCCCCTTCCCTTCTGGAAGGTCACTTGCTGCACTTCCTGTGCACTGGGGCTGTGGCGGTGCCTGAGACACTTCCCCAGACCCACCTGTGCCTGTGACCGCCAGTGGTGGTTCCTCCTGCTGTTCCGCCTCTTTGCTCACATATGTGCGTCCTGGTTTATGTTCGTGGTTCAAGTGGTCGTGCCAGGTGGTGGGGATGTGTGGGGGCTGAAGAAGGGCTGCTGCTCTGAGCCAAGAGGCAAGAGGCAAGAGGCAAGTGTGGCAGCCTGGGCAGGGCAGTCACCGCTGTTGGGGTCAGTGGACAGGAGGTGACACCTCTAGAAGCAGATGTAGGGGGAGGGGTGGAGCATTCTAGACACAATGGAATCGAAGAACACAGGTTGCCTAGCAGGGGCCCTTCCTGAGGCGTGGACTCTGGTGTGGCTTTGTCCCACGTGTGCAGGGAGGTCGTGAGGAGGAGCCTTGGTTTCTGGGGTGGAAGGACCAGGGCATGTGGGACAGACTGATCAGAGGAGAAGACTCAGACCTCGCACGGGCAGCTAGTCAGAAGGTGGCAGCAGCAGCCAGGCAAGGTCCAATCCTGATCTAAAGCAAGTACATCTGACGGTGGAGGGGACCCCTGGGCGAGGAGCCAGCTGACGGGTTAGTGATAACTTCAGGGAGGGTGCAATGCCAAAGTGATGTTTTGGGGTCTAGAACGTACAGCATCCTGGTGACATTTCATTGATGTGCAAGGGGCGTGATGGCACGGAAGCTGAGGGCATTCCTGCCTGGCTGCCTTTCGAAGGCTGTGCAGTTGGGCCGCCCCCGGTCCACACGGCTTTGTGTGTGTGCTATTCCCCAGCCGAGACCGAAGGCTCCCCCCAGTACAGGCACAGGAAGGTGGAGGGTCTGGGCCACGCTACGAGAGGGCCAGAGCCCACGAGTGTGGGGGAGCCAGGGTACTTTCTGTCCCCTGTCCCCTAAACCTTCCAGGCTGTGTGACCTGTGGCAGCACTGAGGGAGCGAGGTGAGAACCAGCAGAGGTTTTGACCTTGGAATGTCTTGGCATTTAAGTCTCCGAGGTGAGGCAGATCCTGGAGGCAGCAGAGCCGGGGTGCCAGCCGTGGGCTGTCACAGGCAGTGCAGGGAGTCGATGGATCTTGAAGATGCCATACCAGTGTTTGTGTGAACCAGACCTGTCTGCTTAATGGTAGGCCTGGCGTCTGACACCTTCCATAGTGACAGCAGCATCAGGCCTGCTGTAGCAGCTGTGACCGGACCACACGGCCTTCAGTATCCTCCTAGGAACTGTATTTATACACCGAAGGTATTGTCCTCTGTTTCCTAAGTCAGCTGAGGCACGTGAAGTCACTTCGAGAAAGTATGTGTAATCGTGTGAAGAAGTAGTGGCCTTAATTTACGGTGTAAGGAGACTTTGAGAAGTTCACAGAGCAGTGAACATTGAGCACAGCGCATGAAAAGCCACTCGGGGATGCCCACGTCTCTGACCAGGGTCCAAGTTCACAGAGTATTTGCATTACCACTGAATGCCAATTTCCACGAAAGTCTTTGAATCATCTTGGTAGTTTGTGAAAAGATAAGGTTGCGTTTCTGGTTGCAAAGGGAGGTTGGGAGCAAGAGGAGTGAGGCGCTTGTTCTCTGGAGGAGAGGTGGGAGGTCAGCCTCGCCTGTGTCAGCCTCAGAGGCGCTCCTGGTGGCCCTGAGAACAAGGTGTGCGCACACTCAGGCGCCTGCGGCTGGTTTCATTTGTGTTTCTGAGTGCGTAACTTTGGGCTTTTTGTCTCCTAGTTTTGTTGATTGCAAAGAGTGTGGACGGAAGATGCATCAGATTTGTGTGCTGCATTATGACATCATTTGGCCTTCGGGGTAAGTCATTTCCTGTGGTCTTGGGAACCGGTGAGCAGCTCGGCCTTGCGGGGTCGGGGTGACAGTGGCGGTCTCTTCCTTGTTGTCAGACTGCAGCAATCATAGGAGCTGGCGGTTAGTTCTAACTTGAAGTCTTAAGTGTTTGCCCGCTTTAGGAATGGGAGAATCAAAGCTGTCTGCCTCTTCACTTTTTTTATAATGATGTGATGCAGATGCCAACAAAGGGTTGTGATGCTGTGTTTTGCTGGTTTGGCAGCACATGCTGGTGGATGGAATCTGATCACACCTTTTTTTTCCCCAGCTTTGTATGCGACAACTGCTTGAAGAAAACTGGCAGACCTCGAAAAGAAAACAAATTCAGTGCTAAGAGTAAGTCTGTGGGAGACTTTTGTTTCCTGAACGGTCCTCTTTAGAACTTGGGCACATTGTCCTGGTCTCCTTGGGTGCCTCTCAGTTGATGAGTACTTTTACAGCTCAGTTATCTAAGGTTTTAATCTATTTTTTAATACTTGATATTTTTATTTTTATTGATTGATTGATTTGAAAGTCAGAGGTACACAGAGAGGAGAGGCAGAGAGAGAGAAAGAGGTCTTCCACCCGATGGTTCACTCCCCAATTGGCTGCAACGGCTGAAGCTGTACCAATCCGAAGCCAGGAGCCAGGAACTTCTTCTGGGTCTCCCATGCAGGTGCAGGGGCCCAAGGACTTGGGCCATCTTCCACTGCTTTTCCAGGCCATAGCAGAGAGCTGTATCAAGTGGAGCAGCTGGGTCTCGAACCGGCACCCATATGGGATGCCAGTGCTTCAGGCCAGGGCATTAACCCACTGCGCCACAGCGCCAGCTCCAATACTTGATATTTTTCTTGTCTTACCCATAAATAGTCATGTGGCTTGATCTTTATATGAAAGTCAGCTTTTATGATCAGTCTGTTTTAAGTTAATTTTTGAATTTATTTACTTACATGAAGTCTTGTCTTGCTGGTTCACTCACTCATTGCCTGCACACAGTGGCAGGTGTCCAGAGCTGAGAGCCAGGATTTTCATCCAGATCTTTCTGTCTTGGTTGCAAGAAGGGGAAGACCCCTTGGAGGGTCTGCACAAACAGGAAGCTGCAGTCAGGAGCTGGAGCCCAGTGCAGAACGTGGGCATCCACACCGTGCTGTGCTTGCTGCCCCAGAGCAGGGCTTAACGCAAGTTCAAACTCTGCTGTTAACCAGAATTTATATATTTATTTGAAAGAGTTACACAGAGAGAGAGAGGTCTTCCGTCCAATGGTTCACTCTCCAGTTGGCCGCAACGGCCGGAGCTGCGCTGATCTGAAGCCGGGAGCCAGGAGCCTCTTCTGGGTCTCCCATCGGGTGCAGGGGCCCAGCACGTAGGCTGCTTTCCCGGTGCATCAGCAGGGAGCTGGATCAGAAGGGCGCAGCCAGGACATGAGCCCCTGCCCATTGTGGGACGCCAGTGCTGCAGGCCCAGGCTCAGCCCACTACTCCACAGCGCCGGCCCCCCAGGTTCACCCCAGTAAGGAGTCTTGTGAAATGCCAGGTCGTTGTTTAAATGTCTCTGATTGGGAAATACTAGAGAGTCGATGAAGAAAACCGGCGTCCCGGTGAGCCTTGTGCCACTTTCCTTTGCAGGCATCTGTGAGGCGTGCTCTGTGCCACACTGAGTGTTGACCCTTGTTTCTTCCTTGGGGGCTGGCCTCGTGAGGGGGAGCGGCCTAAGAACAGCCACCCTGTCAGGGTGCACACTCGCTTGGAGACGGTGGGCATAGGGCCAGACTCACATGCCTGTGCAGTTCCTGTCCTCCACATGACTGGAGAGTCCCTGAAGCAGCAGGCCATCTTCGGCTGATGCTTTGTGGGTGGTTCCTGGAATGTTCTAGTCTGCAGAGCTGGTCACTCACCAGAAACCCGCCTTCCCTGAGGGTGTAGTGCCCGTCCTCTGGGGAAGCACCAGCCAGTCTGATTGCTCTAGGTGTCCTGCTGCGGGGTGCTGGTGGTGGGAAGGGCCTGGGGCCTGGGGTAGAAGGACACAGCCCGGCCCCTCCTTGGGCCTGGCTTCCACCCCACAGCTCCTGCCAGACCTGGGTCTACCTCTACCTCTAGTTCTTCTGCCCCTCACTATTAGAAAAAGATGGAAATATCTGGGAGTGTTGTTGGTTTTCTGGCTGTCGAGTGCCTGAGCTCCCTGAGTCCACCTGAGGAAGACAGGACCCCTCCTGTGTTTGGAGAGCTTCGCACCTTTACAACGTCGGCCGTGGGACGGGAGTTGTTTCACAGCGAGTGAAGCCTCCTCTGGGGACACCCGCAGCCCACGTCAGCATGCCAGTCCGAGCTGCTTTCTGCCCGTTGGCCTGGGAAGGCAGTGGACAAGAGCTCGGGTCTCTGGGTCCCAGCTCTGGTCTGTCCTCAGGCTGGATGTTACAGATGCTTGAGGAGGGAGCCGGCGGATAGACGGGGTCTCTCTGTCTCCCCTGCTCTGTCACTCTGCCTTTCAAATAAGCAGATAAATAAGGTCTCCAGTAAGACAGATGTAAGACTGTGCCAGGAGAAAGGTGGTGCTGTGGTCTCACTGGCCTTTGCCTAAGCCTCTCACCTGCTCCTTCGGACTTCCTAGGACTGCAGACCACACGCCTGGGAAACCACCTGGAAGACCGAGTGAACAAATTCCTGCGGCGCCAAAACCACCCTGAAGCCGGGGAGGTTTTCGTCAGAGTGGTGGCCAGCTCGGACAAGACCGTGGAAGTCAAGCCTGGGATGAAGTCTCGGTGTGTGTGCTGTGCTCTCCGGCCGCAGCCAGGGCCCGCGCGTGCAGGGCCCTCCTGGCAGCCCAGCACGTCTCCCAGAATGCGGGCCCGTGCGGGGGTGCCGTGCCCGCGTGAGGCTGGGAAGACATGGTTGCGGCTTGCGGGGAGGCACGGCCGTGTTGCCCCAAGACGTGAGGCAGGTGCGGAGCAGAGGCTGTGGAAGCAGGACGTTAAGCGCTGGCTTTTCTTCCAGGTTTGTGGACTCTGGGGAGATGTCCGAGTCCTTCCCATATCGAACCAAAGCGCTCTTTGCTTTTGAGGAAATTGATGGAGTGGATGTGTGCTTCTTTGGAATGCATGTCCAAGAATATGGCTCCGATTGCCCGCCTCCAAACACAAGGTAATCCCAGCTCTTCCCTTAGTAAGTGTCTTAGGGGAACTGTGTGCTTTGGTTCTGGGAAGTTAGGTTAAGCCGCCGTTAGCCAAGCTTAGTTTTGTTTACCTGAGAACTCATGGAAAATGAAGGGACTAGACGACTGTGGCGAGTGTGCGTGTCCCCAGTCCGGGGCCCTGGCCTCCCCGCCGCCTCTGTCTCACCTAAGCAGGTGTCCGCACTCATGAGAGGCGCCTCTGCCAGGAGTTCCCTCCTGCTGAGGCAGGAATGGCAGTGGGCAGGGGCGCTGCCGGCGGCTTCGGCAGAGCCTGTTTCTGCAGATTTCTTGGATACTGCTGTTTGGTTTCCAGTTTGAGGGGTACCTTGAGTTAAAAATGGACCCACCCCACTCCCGCAGGCGTGTGTACATATCCTACCTGGACAGTATTCACTTCTTCCGGCCCCGTTGCCTCCGGACAGCCGTTTACCACGAGATCCTTATTGGATATCTAGAATATGTGAAGAAATTGGGGTAAGTTTGGACTAAACTGTTCAGAGCTAGTCAGAGCTCTCTGCATTTCTCGGTGTGTGTGTGTGTTGTGAAGT